CCCACCAGTGCCCCCACCACTGTCGCACTGTCCCCACTGTCCCCACCACTGTTCCCACCACGGTTCCACTCTCCCCACTGTCTCCACGGCCCCAACCACTGCCCGACTATCCCCACTGTCCCCACTGTCCCACTGACTCCGCCGCTGTCCCACTGAGCTGTCCCACTGTTCCCACCACTGTCCCCACTGTCCCCACCACTGTCCCCACTGTACCTCTGTCCCATTGTCCCACCGCCGTCCTCGCCACCGCCTTCACCACTGTCCCCACCACCATTGTATCCTCCACTGTCCCATTGTTTCCACCTCATTCCCACTGTGCCCACACCACTGTCACCACCACCACCGTCCCCACCACTGTCCACTGTCCCCCCTGTTCCCACCATTGTCCTCACCACTGTCCCCACCACTACTGGCCCTCTACTGTCCCACTGTCCCCACCACTGTCCCGCTGTCCCCTCACCACTGTCCCACCAACACCGTCCCCACCTCCGTCCGCACCCCCACTGGGTTTTCGAGAGGGGGGGGGGGGGAAGGGGTTCGAACCGGCAGTGACCCCCCCCCGGTTTTGCGCCAGCAGCGGTAGAAAACGCTCTTTCATATGTATAGATATACATATATGCATATATATATATATATATATATATATCGCGGTGAGCATTGGCACCCCCCAAACAAAAATCTTCGGGGGCCAGAAACAAGCACGCCGCCCGAAACCTCCCCACCATCTGGACACGAATCCCGAAAGTCCCCACCCTTGGCGCCCCCACCTTGGGAGAGCTGAAACCAGCGCCTCCCCGGAGACATATTCAGGATCCGCTCCGAAAGCAACGGCTAGAACGGTTCGAACCAAGCAAACCGCCTGAGGGCGCGGATCCTGGAGTGCGCCCCACCTCTGGCGCCCCACCCAGTGCTAGAACCGGCGCCTGGCCCAAGACATCCCCAGAATCTGCCACGAAAACCAAGGATGCTACGGTCCGGAACAAGCAAACCACCCAAACCGTCCCCACAATCTGGGCGAGCCATAGAATGTCCCCACTCCTGGCGCCCCCACTTCAGGAGTGCTGAAACCAGCGCTTCGCCTTAGAAGTCCGGACAATGCGTTCTGAAAACAACGGCTGTTACGGTTCGAAACAAGCAACCGCTTGAAACATCCCCACAGCCTGGGCGCGATTCCTGGCGGGCGCACGGTGATTCTGAACATGAGTGAGCCTGAATATGTGTATGAGTACGGCTTAATCTAAATATGATTGAGTCCGAGAGTGAGTGGCTTTGTGTGCAAGTTAATCTGAGTGTGAATGAATCTGAATGTACTGAATCAGGGGATGAGTGAGTCTGAATATGGATGTGTGTAAGTGCGAACGGTTTGCGTATGAGTGAGAATAGATGAATGTGAAAAATCTGAATGAATCTGGATAGGTCTGACCGGCAATGAGGAGCAGGAATATGGGGGGATCACGCGCGGACGCCACGCGATCACTTTGCATTGGCACGGCGGGGGTGCGGGAATATTCTCTGCTGTGCAATGCCAACGCCGCCCCACACCATTCATTGCAAAAATCCCCAACGTGCACTTTGCAACAAAATCTGTGGATCATGCGCGGACGGCCCTTGACACGAGCGGCGGGGGGGCCGGCATACTGTTTGCTGTGCGCAACGCCAAGGACCCCCCAACCATCCCCGGCCGGAAACAATTCGGGGATGGACAGACCCACTTTTATTAAAACGTGGTTTAGTGAAAACGACCTGAGGCCCAAACCTGGCGGGCGCAAGCCTGCAAAATACGGCCACGGCGCCTTCTCGAGAACCGAAAACGGACAATTCACTAATCGACGTGTCACTGTTGGGGGTTCTGTCCACCCCCGAACAATACAAAGCGCACGGTTTACAGTCCGGATCGTGCGCGGACGCCCCGCGATCACCTCAAATCTGTCCTCGGCATGGACGGCGGAGATCCCGCCGTCCATGTCTGTTGCGCGCAGGCCCACGATCCTCGAGAAAAGCTCACTTCGCCGCGGGCGGCGGGGGGAGCGGCGGCACGCTGCCTGCTGTGTGCAGGCACCGTGTCAGGCCCGGCGTCCCTGCCCCAACAAAAAAAACAGTCAAACATGATTCAAGGGACCCCAGGACACACAAATAAATACACACAAATAACAAGATTCCCCATATTTTCGCATATTTTCTGGGTTTCTGTCTTCCCCCCCACATCCCATATTTTCCCATATTTTCTATGGAATCGAGGATGACTTGTGTCTGTGTGTTTCTTTCCCCCCTGAATGACTGCGGGCGCACGCCCTTCCACACACACACACACAATCACACACGTGTAAGTTAGCGGCGCGGGAAGGTCCTCAAGCGAGAACGGCAGATGGAAGTGCCAATTGCGACCAAGCGCTGCCGATAGCGCAGCGCACAAGCGTCGCACACTGCAGAATTCAAACGATGGGCGTGTTAAGCGAAGCTGTAAATCCAAACGGAACACGCAGCGGCTAGAAGACTCAAAGTAAACTGAAGTGCGACAACCCAGGTCGAATTGCGGCCACTGAATCATTAGAGCGGTGTTAGACAGTAAAACGCAAAGAAAAAATGCTCCTAGGCAGATTGGTGGTGTGGCCAACCCAGCGGCCCTGCGAGGCAAATGTATTAAGGTGTTGACCTACGGACCGAAGCCAGCGACCGCGATGATGGGTGAGGTAGAGCCGACGACGCGCGGCAACGCCAGCCGCAGCGCACGATGAACAGGGTCAATCCACCGCGCCACTGCGTGGGCGAGGTGGAAGACAATGGACCGGCGACGCAGGGCTGCGGGACGTGTGAGAGCCGCCGCGTGGCAGCGTCAGGCAGCGCGCGTAAACTGTGCCATCAGCCATGCCCGGTCCTGCGAGCACCGGAACTGTAGCGCGAGAGTACCCTGGGCGTGCAACGAGCCGGCACTGCAGGATCGTCAAATCCCAGGGCAGTAAGACGAGCCGGGACACGAGCCCGCGCCGCTGTTGAGGGCGCCCGAACGCGGCGAGCTCTCCACCCTGCCGGGCAACCGCCGACGCGACTAGAAGGGAGGAGGAGGCGGAAGCGAGGACAGGACAGGTTCAAGTCTTGTGTTCCAATATTTGTTGCTTTCTCACGTTTTCGAGCGGCCGACACTCCAAGACTGCCCAAGAAGCCTCCAAACTCGCCCCAAGGGGCCCCCAAGAGGCCCCCTAAAGCGGCCCCAGAGGGCCGCATGATCGGCCCAAGAGACCCCCAGGACGGCCCAAGGGGGCCGGAAGAGGGCCTGAAGACGGCTCGAAGATGGGCCCAAGAGAGGGAACGCGAACCGACTTTTCGAGCTTTCCGTCCCCAGAGGCCCCCAGGAGGCCCCAAGAGGCCCCTAGGTGGCTCCAAGAGGCTCCAAAGAGGCTCCAAAGAGGCCCCAAAGATGCCTAAGAGAGGTCCGACAAGCTCCACAACGCCCCCGTGGAGGCTTCAAACCTGCTTCCAAAAGGTCCCCCGAGAGGCATCCCACGATATCATCCCAGCGAACATCCGAGAAGCCGCTAACCCACAACCCAGACACGGTGGCGGGATGGGCCCAGAACTGCGACCTCTGGTTCGCATGGGGGGCTGGGGGGGCCTTGAGGGCTCTAAGAGGGTTCAGAAGGGGCCCCGGACCCCCGCAGAGGCTCCCAAGCTGGCCCAAGATATTCCCAGGAGGCTCCAGAGAGCCCCCCAAATGCCCGAACAGAGGCGCCCTCTGCCCCAAGAGGCCCCCAGGAGGCCCCAAGAGACTCCCAGGAGGCCTCCACGACGCCCCAAAAAGCCACCAAAAAGGCTCCAGAAAGACCCGAGAAGCTCCCGAGAGACCCCCACCGAGCTCGCAGGAGGCCTCTACACAGACCCTCAGAAGCCCACCAGAAGCCCTTCGTCCTCCATGCTCCGGAATAGCCCTTCGGAGCACGTGGCCCTGGCTGCACCCCCCGACCCGCCCACCCAATGTCGAGGCCCGAGGACGCCCCCATGACGCCTGCAAGACGCTCCGGAAACGCCTCTCCCGCACACGTGGAACAGGTGACAATGATGCTGATCGTCGGTGGTCCGTCGTCGTCGTCGTCGTCGGTCGTCGCTGGTACGCTACAGGCCAAACCCTTCCTTGAAATTCACCGTATCCGCCCGAAAATCACGCATGGGTGAAAGGGAGGAACCCGGAAGACCACATGGAAAAGGTCTCATGGAAATAGACACCGTCTTCGGAATCGACTAGAACCTAAGCGCGCGCGAAGCGAGCGTGGTTCTAGTCCTTACTGTGCTTGACTGAATGTGGGTGCTAAACTAGGCGGCGCGTCCGAGGGGAAGTGAAAAGGAGAAGGCCTTCTCAGAAGGCTCAGAGGCTCAGAAGTTCCTAGTTTTCTGAGTCTTCCCCGAAGATACAAAGACTTCTCAGAAAATGCATGTAATTGTTTGTTCTCGCTGCGTCGCCGCCGTCTTCCGCGCCGTCGCCGCCGTCGTCGCTGTCGCCGCCGTCGCCGCAGCTCGTCGCTGCCGCCACCGTCGCCGCGGCTGCCGTGCTCGTGGGGGAACCGAAAGTTGCCGATACCGCTACTACCTGGGCCTCTCCTGGGGCTCGTTCTGGCCAGGACTTCGAGGCGAATTCAGCGGTGGCGACGAGGGCCTCCCAGGAGGCCCACAAAAAGGGGAACGGGGTGAGGGTAAGTAGCGGTATGGGTACCTTTTCCTCCTCTGAGTTCGCCTGTTTAACCGAACCTGCAGGGTGGGCCCTTTCCCAAATCCATGCTTCGGTGCGGATCGTCTGCGCGCCTCGTCTCCGTCGCCGTCGTCGTCGGCGTCGTGGTCGTGGTGCGTGTTGCTCTGCTGGGGACTTGTTTCCCTTCTGAAGTGACCACCACTACCACCCACCTCTGAGTTCGCCGCCGTCGTCGAAGTCGTCGCCGACGTGGCCGAGCCGCGGCCGCCGCCATCGCTGCCGCCTTCCGCCGCGGCCGCCGCCGTCGGCGCCGCCGGCCCGCCTGCCCCGTCGGCGCACCGCCGGCGGCGGCGGACGCCGCGAGCGAGAGGCGCTGGCGCTTCGCGCGCCGCTCCGCCGACTCGCTGCGGGCGCTCCTCGGCGGCGGCGCCGGCGGCGGCGATGGCCGCGGCAGGTCGCGGCGGCGGCGGGCGCGCTGGCCACTCCCAGAGATCCAACGCACTAAGATAAATCAAGACGTGGGTTTTTTCTACAAAGTTTGGGCCTCGAGCGGCCCTCGCAGGGCCCCGGGACCGTCAAAAACGGCTCAGGATGAGAATCCAAGTCCTGGGGAACGGGTCGAGACTTCTGGGGACCCCGTAGTGGAAAAATCACGACGTCTGATCTCTGGGGGGTGTTGCCCAAATGGGTGGCGGTCCCCGCATGCGGACCCAAAGTTGGTGGCGGTCCCCGCATGCGGACCCTGCCACTGGGGCCTTCGGTGGAGCTCCCTGTGGGGCCACGAACCCTGTGAGGGGTGTGCCTAAATGAGTAGGGGCCCCCGCATGCGGACCCTGCCGCTGGGGCCTTCGGTGGAGCTCCCTGTGGGGCCACGAACCCTGTGAGGGGTGTGCCTAAATGAGTAGGGACCCCCGCATGCGGACCCTGCCGCTGGGGCCTTCGGTGGAGCTGCCTGTGGGGCCACGAACCCTGTGAGGGGTGTGCCTAAATGAGTGGCGGTCCCCGCATGCGGACCCTGCCGCTGGGGCCTTCGGTGGAGCTCCCTGTGGGGCCACGATCCTCGTGATGGGTGTGCCAAAATGGGTGGCGGTCCATCATACACCTTGAGTCGATCGCGGTTCCGATCGTTCACGGCTGAATGCCGTCGGGTTTCAGTGGCGTTGCCGTGTCCCTCGGTGCTCCCACGCCGCAGAAATCAACCTTGAACGCCTTCGCCGGCGTCGCCAGCGCGCCACAGCCTACCGTAAGGGTGCCCCTCCCAAGCTATAGGGCTGCTATCAACCCTCGTGCCAGCTGGCGGATTCTGGAAACCCTGGACCCCAAAATGCTGTCATCTCGCCACCTTCCGCCACCCGTCCGACGACTGCCGCGGGCGGACGCGGCCTCGCTTTACTTCCGCCGACGCTCCGCCGCCCTTCCGCCGCCTTCCGCCGAGGAATGGATGGCAAACCCTTCGATCCTCGAAGGCAAGGCCCTTTTTAGAACCCGCGCAGCCTCCAGGAGACGTAAGACTCGGGATCGGGGGACTCGGGTTGGCCTGACGGGAACATCATGAAAATGACGAGACCCACTCTGAAATTTGACGCGAGCTCCCACTGCAAACATCTTACAAAAACCGGACCGCCCAAACCCAAAACGCGCTCGTCAAGAAGCGTCCGAATTCCGGCGTACTCGAGCCTGACGTTTTCGCGACAGCTGCAGAGCACCGCCCCCCCTCAACGCCCGGTGGCTTTCGGACCATGGCTCGCTTCTGCGGCCGCCGTTCGGACGAAACCAGGACGAGGATAGAATCGGGGATGGATAACTCGAGAATCCCTGAGATCTGGCGGTTCTGAAGGATGTCTCGGGCGCCGCGGCCTTCTCAAAGCGTTTCCGGACGGATGTATCCTCCCCGTCCGATCGACATCGGATCGGCGGAGATCGGCACACACTGGGAGAAGTCGAACTGGCGGAAATCGGCAGGCTCGTAAGGCCTCCGTCGAGGAGCCAGAGTCTAGATCGACATCCGAGGTCGAGCCGAATACAAGTCGGCACCAGCCGAAACCGAACCGAATCGAGTCGGAGGCGTCGGAAAGAGCCCTGCCTTCTCCTAATCCTCCTCCGCCTCCTCCTCCTTATCCTCCTCCGACGACGACTGACCTGGGGAAGGCCCTGAGGGGCCGGAGGAGGCGGACGGGGAGTAACATGTGGGTGGTCGTGGAGGAGGAGGAGGAGAAGGAGGAGGAGGAAAAGGAGGAGGAGGAGGAGCTCGCCGCCGGAGCGGCACCGGCCACCGCCGTCCCGCAGGTCTCTCTCTTCGTTTCCTCCCCTCCCTCATTCGGTTCGTCCGTTCGTGCCCCATTTCGCCTTCTTCTTTCGGGCCCCCCGTTCGTCTCTCCCTCCCCGTCCCTCGCCAGCCCCTCCAACTGCCGATGTCCCCCCTCGCACACCAGAAGCTGGGGCGAGGGTGTTGGCATTGGCATCGCCCGGAGGACTCTCATGCCGTCAGTCAGAGGAGCAGGAAAAGGAGGAGGATGGGAAGAATGAAGACGAGGAGGACGAGGACGAGGACGAGGACGAGGACGAGGACGAGGACGAGGACGAGGACGAGGACGAGGACGAGGACGAGGAGGACGAGGACGATGATGATGATTGATGATGATGATGATGATGATGATGATGATGATGATGATGATGATGATGATGATGATGATGATGATGATGATGATGATGATGATAAGGAGAAGGAGGAGGAGGAGGAGGAGAAGGAGGGAGGAGGAGGAGGAAAAGGGAGGAGGAGTAGGAGGAGGGAGGTGGAGGAAGGGAGAAGGGGAGGAGGAGGGAGGAGGAGGAGGAGGAGGAGGAGGAGGAGGAGGAGGAGGAAGGAGGGGAATAGGAGGAATAGGAGGAGGAGGAATAGGAGGAGGAGGGGAGGAGGAGGGAGGGGAGGAGGAGGAGGAGGAGGGAGGAGGAGGAGAGGGGAGGAGGAGGAGGAGGAGGAGCTGGAGATGGAGGAGGAGGAGGAGGAGGAGGAGGAGGAGGGGGAGGAGGGGGCGAGGAGAAGGATGAGGAGGAACAGGAGGAGGAGAAGGAGGCGGCAGAGGAGGAGGAGGATGAGGAGGAGGAGAGGAGGAGGAGGAGGAGGAGGAGGAGGAGGGGAGGAGGAGGAGGAGGAGAGAGAGGAGGAGCTGGAGAATGGAGGAGGAGGAGCAGGAGGAGGAGGAGGATGGAGGAGGGAGGAAGGAGGGAGGGAGGAGGAGGAGGAGGAGGAGGAGGAGGAGGAGGAGGAGAGGTCGTGGGACTGCCTCTGAGAATTGCTCGACCGCCGCGGCGGGGCGGGGAGGCGGCGCCCAGGGGCGGTCCGCGCCTGGCCCTCGCCGCGTCGCCCGCGCCCGACGCGGGCGGCGGGCCTCCTGCGCCATGGTCGCCGCCGCCGCCAACGCCGCCGCCGCCGCCGTCGTCGTCGTCGTCGCCGCCGCCAACGCCGCCGCCGACGCCGCCGCCGCCGCCAACGCCGCCGCCGACGCCGCCGCCGCCGCCGCCGTCGTCGTCGTCATCGTCGTCGTCGTCGTCGTCCGTCGTCCGTCGTCCGCCGCCGTCGCCGCCGAAGTCGCCGCAACACGGCTCAGAAGAGGAAGAGGTATCCCTACCGCTGCCTTCCCCAATGTGTCCATTTCTTTGGGGCCTCCTGCGAGGCCATCGCCGCCACTCCTGGACTCGCCCCAAAATCCTGGCCAAATCGCACCCTGGCGCAGGCCAGGGAAGTAGCGGTACCGCCGCAAGATATCACTGCTTGGGGCCCATGCTGCCGAACACTCCCGCCCCGCTCGTCGTCGTCGTCGTCGTCGTCGTCGTCGTCGTCGTCGTCGCCGTGGCCGTGGCCGTCGCCGTGGCCGTCGCCGTCGTCCGTCGCCGTCGCCGCAACGCGTCTCAGAGGAAGAAGCGGTACCCCTACCGCTACCCTTCCCCAAGTATCCTCTCTTTGTGGGGGCCTCCTGGGAGGCTATGTAGGGCCCGCCGTTCGTGCGACTACGGCCGAATGTTTCTCTCGATTTCAACAACGACCATCAAATTGAATTGCCCACAATCAAAATCAATGTGAAGTCCATGTGCACATTGATTTAGCGGATAAAGCTTCCCAGCGGCAGCGGCACTCATAAACAATGTGCAAGCCATGTACACATTGATTATGGTTGTGGGGGATTTCCAGTGGCAGTGCCTTGGGGCCGCTCGACAACAAAGCAAGCATTAACAAAAAAACATGGTTTCAACATGGAATATATAAAGACAAAGACAACAAGTGCCTGTCACCATTCTAGTGCGTAAAGAAATCAAAACGCTGACAATCGCACGTTTCCTTGGTTTTCATATCTTCCATGTGGAAGCACATGGTGTTTTCACTGTGTTCCGTTTTTTTCCCACATGTTCTTTGTAATCTCTCGCAGCCCTAACCCGCTGCCTCTGGAAAACACCGTTTTCACCATCAACGTGTAAGCAATTTACGCATAGTTTTTTTGTGGCGGTACCGAAAAGGCAGCGACAGTCATAACCAATGTGTGAGCCATTTACACATTGATTATGATTGCGGGGGGGGGTCCCACAGGCAACGCCTTGGGGCCGCGGAAGCTTACCAGGGAAACAAAAAACATGAAAACTATAAAAAAAACATGCGTTATCGCATGGAGGTATATTAAAAAATGGCAAACATGTGGCTGCCGCCTTTGATTATTTCATGTGTGAAACTGAAGAAAACGATGACAAATCGCGGGTTCCCACTGCTCTCCAGCATTTCCTATTAAAAACCCAAGTTGTTGTTTCACGTGTTCTTGTTTGTTCGTTCACTGTTTTACTGGTAAACCCGCGCCGCCCCAAGGCGTTGCCTGCGGAAATCCCCATCATCAAAATCCGCCGACCCCTTGGGGTCATCGGCGTGTGAGATGCTTCCCCCCTCCCCAAACCCCTCCCCCCGGAGCCTGGTCCGGTCGTTTTGGAGGGGGGGGGGGGGGGGTCCGGCCGGATTCCCCGGGATCCGCCGGCGCGGTCCGGGGGGGGTCATCCGCTCCAGAGAGTCTGCTGGGGGGGCCGCAAACGAGCGAAGAGGCTCCCAAGAAGCTCTGCAGACGGTCCAAGAGGGCCCCGAGTCGCCGAAAAAACACTCGAAGACGGTCAAGATGGCCTCCAGATGGCCCCAGATGCCTCCAAGACGCCCCAAGAAGCTTCCAAGACGCCTCCCAAGATGGCCCCAAGAGGCCAAAATCGTCGATTTCCATTGGTTTTTTCAACGTTTTTGGCCTTCGCGTTTTTTCGGGCTTCCGACGCTCCAAGACGGCGAAAGAAGCCCCCAAGACGGCATCAAGACGACCCGAGAGGCTCCCAAGTGGGCCCCAACACGGCCCAAGAGCGCCTCAAAACGGCTCAAGAGGGCCTTCAGACAGTCCAAGAGGGCCCACAGAGGGGCCCAAGAAAGGCTCCAGACGGGGACCACGAACCTAAAATTCTAGCCTTCCGCCCCAAAAGGCGCCAAGGAGGCCCCAAGAGGCCTCCAAGAGGCTCCAAGAAGCCCCCAAGAGGCCCCCAACAAGCCCAAAAAAAGCCCCAAGCTGCCCCAAAACAGCTCCCCAGAAGCCTCCAAACTGCCTCCCGCAGGCCCCCGAGAGGATTCTCACGACGACGGCGCCAGAGGCTCCCACAACGGCTTTTTCGGCTTCCGGACGCTCCAAGACGGCCCAAGAGGCCCCCAAGACCGCTCCAAGACGGCCCACGAAGCTCCCAAGACGGCGCCGAAACGACCCAAGAGAGCCCTCAAGACGGCCCAAGTGCCGCCCAAGACGGACCAAGAGGCCCCAAGACGGGCCCAAGAGGGACTCAGGAGGGATACCGAGAACTCAAAAATGGAGCCCTCCGTCCCAGAAGGCGCCCAGGAGGTCCCAAAGAGGCCCCAAGAGGCCTCCAAGAGGCCCCAAGATGTCGCCAAGAGGCCCCAGGAGACTCCCAGGAGGCCCAAAAGAAGCCCCAGAAGGCTTCAAACATGTCTCCCAGGCGCCCCCGAACGGCCTCTCAACAGACCCCAAGAGGCCCCCCAAAGAAGCATCTTGACGACGACTCTATTTCGCCCCATCGAGAGACGACCCCCAGGGAACTGCTTCACCATCAAAACTCCCCACGCAACGCGTCCGAACGACACCCGCCCCCAAGAGCGCAACATGGGCAACGAACACACAGACAAAAACCAGCGATGCCATATCACGGGCCGGCGGAATGAGCGAAGCGATTCAATAATTCGTCGTGGGTTCTCGCCCCTTTCCCCATGCGTGCACGGCGAATACTGAAAATGTCAGCCCAAGAGGTCCCCGAAAAAGCTCCGAAAATGGCCCCGCGAAGCCCCAAACGAGCTCCAAGAAACCCCCCAAACAGCCCACAAGAGGCCCTCAGTAGCAACGCGTAACAACCGCCAGTTCCCCGGGGGGTCGGCGGTGTGGCGCAAGCCCAAGATCAGAGTGTAAGCAATATACGCGTTGATTTCGATAGCGGGGGTATACGAAGAGCAGCGACAATCATAATCAATGTGTAAGCCATTTACAAATTGATTCTGGGTGTGGGGGATGATTAAAGGCAGCACTGTGGAGCCGCGGAAACTCATTAGGAAAACGAGAAGACAGCACATGTTTTAAATTGGATTGCGCACAGACGAATGGGAACACACAAAGGAAAACATGTGAGTGGTGATTTGTATTGTTGTATCAAACGTAAATCTGACGGTCGCAGGTTGTCATGTTTCTTCTATTTGTGGTATTCGTACAAACATGTTTTCCGTCATGCTTGCTTAATGCCTTTTGTTCCCCATGTGTTCCTGGTAAGCTTCCGTGGCCCCAAAGCGTTGCCTCTGGAAATCGCCGCAATCAACAGCAACGTGTAAGCAGTGTACAAATTGATATTGATTGTGGGGGCATTCGGAGGGCAGCGACGTCATGATCAATGTGAAAGCCATGTACACATTGACTCTGATTGCGGTGGATTTCCAGAGGCAACGCCTTGGGGCCGCGGGAGCTTACTGGGAAAACTAAAACAATCCCACATGGATGAATACGAAAGACCAAAAAATGTCACCGTCGCCATTTGTATATGTGTGAAACGCATGAAAACGCTGACGGTCGCAGGCGTCCCGCGTTTATATATATATATATATACACATAAACATATATATACATATATATATATATACATATGTATGTCTTCTTCTTCGTTCCCCCATTGTCCCCGGTGAAAACAGTTCTTTACAAACTGTTCCAGGGTTTGTGGTTTTCCTGGTCGGCTTCCGCGGCCACGAAGCGCTGCCTCCGGAAATCGCCGCAATCAAAATCAATGCGTAAAAAATGTGCAAACTCACATTGATTGCGGGGGCATTCAGAGGGCAGCGACAATCATAATCAACGCGCAATCAATTTACAACTTGATATTGGTTGCGGGGGATACCCAAACGCAGCGCCTTGGGGCCGCGGAAGCTTACCAGGAGAATAGGAGAAAACAAAAAACAACTGAAACAACATGTGTTTCCACATGGGAGAAAAACGAAAGCCTGCGACTATCAGCATTTCTACGTGTGATACGAATGAGCAAGTTGGCAGTCGCATGTTCTCGCGCGGGAGAGCCTCCCAAAATTTATAGAAACAAACAAGGGCATTTATACCAACGCCCAACAATCTTTACATTGGAACAGTTGCCTCAGGACAAACGCTCCAGATCTAATTTTTCTTCCGTCGGCGGGTTACGAGGGGGCGACGGAGGCGGGAGCGGGGGCCCGGGGCTGGGCCAGCGGCGCTGCCGTGCGGGGCCAGCGGCGCTGCCGTGCGAAGGACAGCGCCGCCGTCGCCTCAAACTGCATGCCGCGGCCGTGGCACGCGCGGTCCTGGGAATGCCGGCGCGGGCGCGGCCGCGTCGAATGGGCCCAGCACGTCGCCGCGCGCGCGGCCCCCCCTGCGGCAGCTGGCAATGGCCTCGCCGACAGGGCGCCTACACTTACGCACTTTCGCCAAACATTCAAAACGCTGACATGTAAATCTATACTTGTGGGGGCTGGGGTCGGTTTCCCACTGCTCATCCCGCTCTTTTGGAGGAGGAGCGGCCACATGCTTCCAGCCGCTCCTCCTCACTCCTGTCCCCGCTGCCGCTCCTCCCCCTCCTGCCCCTCCTCCCGATCCCCCTCCTCTGTCACGCGTTCGAAGGCAGGACGGCGCGACAGTGCAAGATGCTGCAGAGAGGCACGTCATAGTCGACAGCTGCGGGGCCCGAGACAGTCCCCTTCCCCTTCGCTTTCCTCCTACGCCCCCCGTCTTACGGCGACCACGAGGTCGACGACGACAGCGAGGCCGACGGCTGCAGCGACGGCGGCGCCGACGACGCCGACGGGTGTGGCGACGGCCGCGACGACGCCGACGATGGCGACGCCGCTTGCTGCGACGAACGGCCGCCGACGGTGGCGGCGACGACGGCACTGGCACCAGCGACCCGACGACGGCGCGGCGACGGCGGCCACAGACCGGCGGCGGCGGCGGCGGCGGCGGAGGCGATGGCGGCACCGACGCACGACGGCGCTCCCGACGAGGCGCCCCCAGCAGGCACAGCCGGCGCGGCGCCGAAGGGCCCGGGCGCGCCGAGGGCGCCGGCGGCGGCCCCGACCGCCACGTGAGGCGCCGCCGCGCTGGGGCCGGGCGCACGGCCAGCGGCGGCCGACGCGGGCGCCGCGGCGCCTCGCCGCCGACAACGCCGCCAGCGCCGCCGCCGCCGCCGCCGCCGCCGCCGCCGACGACGACGACGACGACGACGACGACGCCGACGACGACGACGGCGACGCCGACGCCGACGCCGACGCCGACGAGGCCGCCGCCGCCGACGACGATGCCGACGCCGACGCCGCCGACGACGCCGACGTCGACGAGGCCGCCGACGACGATGCTGGCGGGACACGGCGGGCGGCGGCCCGTGCGGCCGCAGCGGCGCCTCGCCGCGCGGTGCAGGGCCGCGAGCAGTGCTGGCGCTTCCCCGGCACGGAGGTTCCACTGGACGCATCGGCTGCAGGAACCCTGAGCTCCTGGCGCTGGAGCGTTTCCCCTAAAGCAAAACGTGGTTTAGTGAAAACGACCTGAGGCCCAAACCTGGCAGGCGCAAGCCTGGAAAATAACGGCCACGGACGGCGCCCTCTCGAAAACCGAAAACGGACAATTCACTAATCTCGACGTGTCACTGTTGGGGGTTCTGCCCACCCCCGAAAGACGAAGCCAGGGGGAGGATAACATCGGGTGACAATGGAACGGGGATCTCTGAGGTCCGGCGGCTCTGGAGGACGTCTCTCGGGCGCCGCGGCCTTCTCGGAGCGCTGCGGCTCCCAGAGCGTTTTGCGCAGCGCTCCGAGAGCGCTCCGAGAGCGCTCGGGGGCACGGATTGCTCCCCGCCCTGGCCCCGCCCGAGCAACTGGCGCTTGCGCCCGGCCTCGGGCCCCTGGGCCCGCACAGATCGATCCGGCTCGACAAGAAACGCCGAAACAGGGGGAAGGCAAACCTACCTCGCTTCCAAGAGATACCAAACGATGCCAACTTGCAGCCTGTACTGGTCAGGCCGCTTGACGAGGAGGCGCGTGGTATGGCTTGGTTTTGCCTGGAAGCGAAAGCGGGGTAGGCAATTCACGTTCTGACGAAAGGCGGGGTCTGGGCTGTGTTGCGCCCATCGCGCCTAAGGACCTCATCCCAGGGAAAAAAGCCCACCAGCCCTCTGGGCGCCGGTGGTCTAGGGAGCTTCCTCTTCCGCCCCTCCTTCTTCTCCTTCGGGGAGGGGTTTACCCTCTCGGGGAGGGGTTTACCCCTCCTTCTTCTCCTTCGGGGAGGGGTCTGGGCTACGTTGCTCCCATCGTGCTTAAGGACCACATCGCAGAAATAATTTCGAGAACCCGGAAAAGTGTCGAACAACTGTTGAGACAGTGTCGACAGAGTGTCCCCAAGGGCCCGACACGTGAGAACCTGGAGTGTCGGTTCCTTTTTCTGAGGCTCGAAACTCTTTCTGGGGATCCAGGCCAACGTGGGTTGGAACATCATAATGTCTGGGGCTTCGATCGCACGTTGTCGCGATGCTGCAATTTCCTCGCAACGTGGGATCTCCGGGGATGCGGGCCGGCACGTTCTCAAAAAAGGGCTCTCGCCTCAGCGCCGCGCGCGCTCGTCCCCGCAGTCTGCGCCGGCTGCGGGCATGCAGGGCGCCCCCTTGTCGACGCGGGGCTCTCGCCTCAGCGCCGCGCGCGCTCGTCCCCGCAGTCTGCGCCGGCTGCGGGGATGGAGGGCGGCTCCTGGTCGAGG